CTGGTTTTAAGGTACAAGCCTGGCTTTATCCTGGATTTGAAATTGACATCACAAATTCACATTCTAAATTCAAAAATGCTGCATAAGCCATCCTTTTGGTTGTGTCAAGTAGTTTCCTGTCTTTGTGTTTATGTGTAAAATGCACCATATGTGCATTTTTCCATTTGTCCATTTTTGCCTTAATTTTTTAAAAGAACACTTTGGATGCTGTGGCAAAACTACTGCAGGGAACAGTCTTGGTGATATCATAGGCACTAGCCAATCAGCCCTGTCCACTGCAGACGTCTATATCATCAATTTTTCCAGAGCTCTTCCAAGAGAGGATAAGGCATGTTATTTGCACTGCATATAGTGAAGGTAGTTATAAACTCTTCTTGCAATTAAAAAAATATTACATTTGTCTTGACAGAGTAAGGAATGGTTCTTCATTCCACATGAGGTAATAAAAAGTCAAAAGGAGAACATGAGATACCACAGTGAAGGGTATGATGTTAACATGTCTACATTGCTACTGACTACAGTGCATTGCTTGAACGTCTCTGCCTATGTCTGGCAACAGGAGTTAGCGAAAGTGCTCTCCCTCATGCCGAGATGAAAAGGCACTGCTCAGAAGGAACCTCTGGTGCAGCAACAGAGATACGTCAAATGTAGACAGGGAGACACTTTTAACGTCTGTAGATATGAAAAGTATGGCTTGCTTCTCTCTTGGCATTCTACAGGCTTGTTTCTGGGGCAAGAGAAACAAAACTCTAGTATAAACTATAGTGTTTCTTCCTCTCCTTGCAGGCTATCCCAAAACATTTTGCTTCCTGAGTAAAAGGATAAAAAGCACCATCATCCTTTCTATGTTCTAAAGCTGATTGGACTTTTAGAATGGACCTTTCGTCACCATTGGCAATGGAGCAGCATCTTCTATCACACAGAAGGCAACAGAATATGTAGGTCTGTAGAAACAGGGCAAGCTATATGTGACACACAGTCGTTTCCTTAAACACCTTGTTTGTCTCCCTTCTCCCAGATTCTACCACCTGAGACTCCCGCCTAATGGTGGGGCTGGCTTCGACCTCTCCTCTAAAGTGTCCAAACTCTATCTGAGGAATGAACGCGTTCATATGATCATTTTACCACAATATTATTTCTACCACATTTTTTACCACATTTTATATTCTTTCCATGTGGAAGGATGTGAATATAACCAGCCACATGGTGGATACTTTGCTTATTTGCATGGACTCAGTGTCACTTTGTATCAGGAATGGAAAACTTCTGTGCAATCCTAAAAATGTTGACCTGGACGTCGATTCAGTATGTTCACTCAAAAGTCTCACTAAACTCAGAGGTGCTTACTCACCAGAGGGCAAGTCAGGACTGTAAACATTAGAATTATGTCAACGGTATGGCAGATAAGTGCTCCACGTATAAAAGCACCGCGAATTGGTAACAGTATTCCTATTTTCTATGCAATAGTTCTACTACATATTTTCACAAATCATAAAAAACAATGGCTTTGATGGCACCTTCTCATCCAGTGTTTCAGCCACAGTGGACTCAGGTGGATGTCTGGCAGCTGTTTTCTCTTCATTTAATACTCCATCCTCTACTGCAGTATGAATCAGAAATATCAAAATAATTAAAACTGCCAGACAAATACATCTTCAGACCTTAGATCATCTTTAAATGTTTACATATTCAGCAGAGGTATCCATGGAGTTAACAGATTAAGCAATATAGTTTCATAACAATTTTTGGTTTTGTGCATGTAGAAAGTTTGTTTTTTGTTTAATCAATGCATGATCACTACCTGCTCTTATTGATAAAATCTGTTACCTAGCTGGTATGGTCATGACATACAGAGAGCAGTAGCAGTTAATACTGGAAAAATCAAGCGCATATACATCAAATGGACATCCACTCTCTGGCTACCTTCCAGAAATTGAGGCAAAGTTTTCTCATAACATCCATGAATCTTGAAGGAAGAGCGGAGAACACTAGGACTGGAATGTGGAAGGGAAGAACAACCCACCTGTTAAAATGGAGGGAACCTCAGGGAAGTCTAGCCCTGAGTCACTCAGATCGCTGGAAGTCACTTCATAGGCTATGGCCCAGATCTGGCTGAACCAAAGGGGGGTGGGGTTTGCACTGACACAGTCCTTTACAAGTGCAGAGAGGAATAGATGACTTCACACCTATGTCAGAGTACTCTATGCTCTTCCATATGCATTACAGAAAGCTTGGAGTTAGCTGCTGCAAACGCTCTTGATGTTGCTTGTTTCTGGGTGAAAATTATCTGAGATATTTATTAATTCGAATGTGGTGCTTCCGACACAAACAAACAAAGAAAGCAAGTTTTTAAGTTTAACATCTTCTTGTTGCTTTCTATCAAAGTGCCATTTCCCAGAATATGGAAACTCCCTGGAACATTTTAGTACACTCTGGGAACTGCTGGATCGCTCAGTGGTTTAGGCATCTGGCTGTGGAGACAGAAGCTGGGAGTTTGACTGGGGCTGGACTCAATGATCTATAGGGGCCCCTCTAGCTTCGCAGTTCTAAGATGTTGATGATGATGGTTTTGTTGTTGTTACTCATAACAGAGGCTGAAATCCTGTTACACGGTTATGCAAAAGAGGTAACTTTTAGAGGTAAATAAATCTCTGTAAGAAATCTTCATGGGCATTATCTATTACCTGAAAATTTGCGCAACTCAGTATGCAACAGGTAATCCCTATGAAGAATTCTTATTTACAGTAATTCACTGCTAAAAGTTATGCCTCTTGAATAACTGTGCAACAGAATTCGGCTCACACATTATACCCAAATGCTAGACATCAGTATGAATTCATCACTTTACTTCATATTCAGAATATCTAAAGAAATCCACCCAGTAGTTGAGTGGCCTAAATCTAATTATTAATCCCAGTTAGATCAGACCCACTGAATCAAGGGTGAGTAGGTAAGAGAATACTTACCAATATTCTGTTACTTCAGTGGGTCTCTTTTAGTTGGGAATAACACTGGATTTAGGCTATTCTATAATTAATGAAAGGAGTCCAACATTTCCACAAGTTGTATTCTAAGTTCATCTGTTCAGTCCATACTAGCTTATGCAATTTTTTTCCTCTTGCCCTCAGACAGCTGCTACAACAGGGTGGACAATTTCCAGAAGTTCAGAGGTCACACACATCTTCCTCATTCATTCATTCATTCATTCTTCATTCATTCATTCATTCATTCATTCATTCATTCATTCATTCATTCATTCATTCATTCATTTTTTCTCTCTGTAGAGGAGCTCAAGACAGTTTAAACATGCTTTAAAAACATAAAACAGTTACAAATTCAAAAAACCACATATAACAATCAAAGATATTAATTATGAAATGGTCCTGATTAAATCACATTTTTTAAAAAATTAAAAACACATTTAAAAAGATAAAAGGACAACTCTGTTTCAAATCTCTTCCTGAATTACTATTAGTTACATGTTAAAGATCTGCCTGAAAAGGAAGGTATTTACCTTCTAGTGGAAGGACAGCAAGGAGGGGGCCAACCTAGTCTTCCCTGGGAAGACGTTGCACAAGCTGGGAGCAAGCACCAAAAAGGCTATCTCATGACTGCACCATGGACGGTGAGACCAAGGGAAATGCCTCCCCCAAACAGCTTAATACTGATGGGGAGGGGGGGGGCTGATATGGACAAGGCAGCCCCTCAGACAAGATGGACTTTGTTTCCTCATGCCTCCAACACCTGTTTTTAAAATACTCAAAAGGACCCCTTGCACACTGCTCCCTGTTCCACAGATTTCTACCCTAAAACAGAGTATTCATTTGTACTTCTCACACTAAGGGTGCTTAGTAAGGTGGCCAGGACAGCAGAATCCCAATCCCTGAGATATTTCAGGACCCATAATCCAAGATCTAGGGGCATACCCCTGTAATGTCACCAAGGGGTAGATTTTCAATAACAATTGCAAAATCTCTCCCCCCCCCCGT